GTTCTATATTCCTCACTTCCCTGCATGTCAGATTCTTTCCCCATACTTAGGAAATTTTCTAGAGTTACTTCTGCAAATAGTCTTTTTTTATGTCATCTATGTTGATTCTTGTTTTTTCAGGAACAACAATTATTCTTATTTTATTTTTATTTGTATCATCTTGCAACTGTTGAATTGTTATTTCCTGATCTTTTATTTTTAAGTTTTAATGGATCTTTTCTTTCATGATTACTAGTTGCAATCCTATCTTCAAGGTCTGAAAGTCTACTTTCAGTTTTATTCAAGGGGTTTTTTCAGCTTTCAATGGAATATTTAATTCCCACCATATTTGTTTGAATCCATTTCATGCATTCCATTTCTTTCCTATATTAATCATTCATAGTTGCATCTGTTTTCTATCATTATCCATTTTTTGTATATATCTGTACTGTAGATTTTCTGAGCAATTTCTTTATGAGTGTTGACATTTCTTTTTACCTAAGAGATTATTTCTGATCTGATTTCTTGTATAGCTTCATGGACTTGTTTCTTTATTTTGGTTGCTATCATTTCAGAAATGTCAGGTATGTGTCTTCATTTTCCCTTATCTCATTGTCTCCTGGACTTATTTTGGGTGGGCTGGAGGTCTAAGATTGCATTTCACATCTGGTTCTTGTCATTTTGTGTTTCAAAAGTTTTTATTTTGTTTTCTGAATTGATGCTTGTAAGTTTTTGTAGTAGGTAATTTTATCACTAGTATCAAGGCCTCTCTAGGTAAGTTTGTTCTTCAGGGATCTTCTGGGTTTAGAAGGTTCTTTGTTTCTGGCTGGCCTAAGATCCTACCTATCCACTTAATTAAGAATGAGATGTTGGTGTCTGTTTGGCTTAGTCCCCATTCTTTTGGTGCTGAGGTTTGGTGAGGTTATTATCCCCAAACTTCCCAGTATTGTTACACAAGTGACAACAACTGATTAAAACAGCCATAGCATCCTATCTAAAGTAGTATAATTAGCAATAATAATAGCATCAAGCACAGTTTAAAAACTGACAAACTGTAGTAATTATTAATTTTGTACCTCTAACCATAGGAGCAGATGTATAGTTATATGACAGAACTGATTGCAAATTGGGAGCTTGTATGTAAAATATTTCCCCTTGGTAGAGTGTTTTTACCCTGTGGTGGGAAAATTTATGAAGGATAGTTGATAGAACAGAGATAACTGAAAAGAAATAAAGTAGAAGCCAGGCTGGAGGATGAAGGATGATTAGACAAGCTTTGGGAAAGTGAGAAGTCAGCTAGAGAAGCATGCAGAAGAGAAAAAACAAATTAATAAGCAAGGGATTCTTGAAGTTGACCAGAAAAATTAGAGAGCTTCTTCACTCATATGAAAATATAATAAAGTCTAGAGAGCTAGAAAAAAAAAGGAAAGAATATGAAGTGATTAGAACAAAAGTATAGATAAAAGACAAAAAATGGAAAAAGAAAGAGAAACAAATCCACAAATAACGAACAAGAATAAAATAAAACCAAAAAATTAAATTCTTGTGGTGTCCACAGAGAGTCCAAAACTACTGAATAACACACCAAAGCCTGCAATAGAGTTTGTGGTGGATTTGAGTCTTATCTTAGCCTCCAGATGTAGGGGCCTGTTGCTAGAGAGTTCAGCTAGTATTTTCTGTATGTCCCTTAGTGCCCTCCCACTCCTTGCCCTGTTTCTCTTGGTGGTGTCTCTCTCAGTTGCTGTGCTGTTTTCAGACAGAGCAGGGGCTCTTCCCAGTTCCATGTACTCTTGGCTCCTCCTGGTCCTTGCTCAGCCTTATGCATTCCTCTTCCACTGGCAAGTCTTTGTCCTCTCAGGTTGTTTGTTGTGCGGTCATGTGGGATGCTGAGATATGGTCTGGTCCTCTACTTCTGCTGTTGCAGTCCAAGGCTGCTCAGTCCCAATTCTTACTCTTCTCCTGAGGTGAGGTGTTAACTTCCCATTTGTTACTTTACAAGTTCTGCTGCCACTGTCATCCACCTCTGCTGTAGTCTGTAACTTTCTCAGGCAAGATGGGGGTTCCATGGGGTACTTTTCTCTCCTGCCTCTGGCAGCAAGAACACAGCCCAGGGCTGCACAGTCTCAAGGTGCAACGCTGTTTAATTTCCCCCTGAACTTCTCTAACCACAGGTCATGTGGCAGGGGTTAGGTGTTCCATTTACTATGCACTCCTGTAGTCTTTAATCTTGCTCCTGCTGGTTCCAGTTAGTGCTATGGTGCACATAAAGAAAGGGAAGGAAAGAAAAAAGGAGAGGAAAAAGAAAAACAGAGGAAAGAAAAAATGAAGAAAGGAAACTGATTAATCATCAAGGAGAAAGCAGTTCATGATGGCAGAATTTAGTGCTGGACTGTAGCTTTTCTTTTTGGAGAAAGGCAAAAGAGGCAGAGGACCTTAATCTTAAGTCTTTCCTTGTGGATTGATATCACCACACTATTTTAGTATATCCTTTTAAAAAAAATTCTTCTTTTTTTAATATTCCAAGTATGGTGGGCAGTCATCCTGATATGTCAACCCACTGGCAGCTGAGTAAGCTGGCTGACCGTTTCATTATCTAATAGTCCTTTTCTTTTTCTTTTTTTTTTTTTTTTTTTGGTTTTTCTCTGGTACCAGGAACCGAACTCACGACCTTGCGCTTGCCAGGCAGGCGCTTTGCCGCTGAGCTAAATCCCCAGCCCCTATCTAATAGTCCTTTATCTATGCTTTGCTTGATCTGTTAGTCTCTTATGTCAGATTGATTTTATTTTCAGAGTTTATGTCCCTACTCTTTCTTCCAGTTACCTGTGTTTTAGCTGAATTTCTCTGAGCAAACCTGAATGAGTCTTCTGTATTCAGCCATGTTGTCTCTCCACTGGGGTTAACATTTTTAATCAAAAAGGAAATCAATAGATTATCTATAGGAAATTTCATGTTTTTATTAAGAAATCTCTTTCTTAATAAAGGCAAAACATTGTATGTATTCTGTTTAATACCAAGGGTAATATAGAAATTCCTACTCTCAAAAGTTTATTCTACACTTTTCCAGCCAGTGCATTAATGCAATAAATATTATCTTCTGTATACTATATATGAAAAATCACATGGAGATAGCTGAATATCTTAAGTGAGTGAAAGGAAAATATTAACAACCTATACTTCATATAATTATTTCCATAATCCTCAGAAAATACTTCACTGAAACTTCTTTTTGTCTCCCATTCTACACTTCACTTCCATTTCTTTGCATGTCAAACTTCTGAAAAAAATCTTTGTAATTTTGTCTTGACATCTATTTAATTCAATATATTTATTTTGGTACTGGAAATAAAACTCAGGACCTTGTGCTTGCCAGGCAGGCACTGTGCCACTGAGCTATATCTCTGATCCTTCTATTTTCTTTTAATTATGAAAGTAGGATAACACTTCTGTTTAGCCTATATTTTTAATGTTTTCTATTATGAAAACACAATAGGAATATTCAACTCATAATTGCAGTTCTGTTATAGATCCTCTATAAATTTTTGTCATGTTTTATATCACAAATCTAGGACAACACTGACCTCTCAGTTGATCTCTTAGTGCATATCCTAGGTGTTTCCAAGTTGTGGGATCATCTTTCAGTTTTTGCTATATATAGATAGACAGGAAGACTATCTTGTTTCTTCCAAGGAGGAGAGGTAAAAGAATTTTTTTCAAGTTTGTTTTAAAAGTGCAAATGGAAATTTATGTATCACCTCTTTGAGTATTTAAAACTCATACTCACATACAGCTAAGAAACTGTTCATAGGAAATCTATCTTAACTAATATATCAATATAATAATGGAATAAAGAATATCTGTATAACTACTTTGTTATAATTGATTTTTAAAAGTCACCAAAAGCAAAAGAATTAACTTGCTTTGTGAATCTGAGTGTTGTGTAGATCATTTAGCAAAGCTTGAATGAGTAATAAAATACAGGGTTTATAATTCATAAACTATATACTTATAAAATAAATTTTTTTATCTTTATCCAGTAAATTAACAATTTATTATACTATACTCGACTAAAAACAGCATTTCATTGGTTTGAATGTTGATGTAGATCATCTTTGTGAGTTTTCACAATTTCAGAATTTTGTGTATTTACTTTCTAAGCCCAGGGATGCTTGAGAGAGTGAAGCAGGGTGAAGAAACTTCACTCTTCACAGTGAATATTTCTTTCTTTTTTAGCTATTGATTTCAAAACATGACATGACATGATTCTATTTCTTTGGTAGCATGTGCTGATTTTTAAAAATTTTTGTTGTTCACATTTATGCTTGGAAAAGAAGTGTGAAGGTAAAGTGGGTGAGATCTGAATTTGGTGCCCAGGAGAGAGTGGGGATCTTTGCATAGTGGTAAAGAAGCAGGAGTCTGGAAGACTGGTGTTGTGTGGATGAGTTTCTCTTCATTTCCAGTGCTGACCAAACAAAGCCTCAGTTCCCAGGAAAATGAGGGCTCCTTGGAGATAAGTTAGTATTGTCTCTGTATATTTTACAAATCCTAGGTGGCAATGCCATTAGACAAAAAAGTTTCATTTAGCTAAATATTTCATGAATCCTATTTTAAAAATCATTGTAACTCAGAACTCAAGCTGTTAGAAACAAAATTTCTACAGCTAAGGCAAAGTGAAACTATAAAACAGTGAAAGGTATCTATCTTTGTTTGCATTTTAGCAAATATGAGTTTAGTTATGCTTTATAATCACGTATGAATCATTTCAACTGGTGGAGCGATTATAATTGCTTAGGTAGGGTTTGGCACAAAAGTTGGAAAAGATAAAGATTTCACCAGGACAGCTATCTTCATATTAATTATCAAACCTTGGAAATTTTTAACTTGGCATTATACCAATGGTTAAAGAAGGCACAAGAGGAATAGGAGGAGAAAGAACTTGGCTGTACAATTAACGACTCTGGTGACATTTTAGATCAACAGGTAACCATCAGTGGTATTTGACTTTGAATTTTCTCAGTTTGGACATGGAAAGTGGCCTGCAAAGCCTCCTCAACCTCCTGATAGTTGTGCAGTTCATAATTGGGAATTTGAGCAATGGATTTATACTGCTGATAAATCTCATTGACTGGGTCAATAAATGAAAGCTCTCATCAGTTGATCAAATCCTCATCTTCTTGGCAATTTCCAGAATTGGACTCATCTGGGAAATACTAGGAAGTTGGTTGTACTCTACATACTTATTTCCAAAGTATCAGCAACTACGACTAAGTACTATTTATATCTGGATATTGTTCAATCACTTTCGTCTCTGACTTGCTACAGTTCTCAGCATCTTTTATTTGCTCAAAATAGCCAGGTTCTCCAGACCTATTTTTCTCTACCTGAAGTGGGGAGTAAAAAAAGTGATTCTGATAATACTGCTAGGAACCTTGCTGTTCTTGTTTTTAAATATGATACAAATAAACACACATATTGAAGACTGGAAATATGGACGTGAAAGAAACACAACTTGGAATTCCACAGTGAGTAATTCTATAATGTTATCAAAGATCATCATATTCAACATGACCATGTTCTCCCTCACACCGTTTCTTGTGGCCCTGATCTCTTTTCACCTGCTTATCATCTCCTTATGGAAACATCCCCAGAAGATGCAGCTCAATTGCAAAGGACACAGAGATCCCAGGACCAAGGCCCATATCGATGCTTTGAAAACTGTGGTCTCTTTCCTCCTACTCTACACCAGTTACTTTCTGCCCCTTCTCATGTCATGGATTTCTCATATACATCTTCTTAAATTGGTCCACATACTTTCTGTGACTATTTCACTCATCTATCCTTCAGGTCATTCACTTGTCCTGATTCTGGGAAACTCCAAATTAAGGCAGGCCTCTCTTTCTTCACTGAGGCAGGTAAAATGTGAGACAAAGGATGAGAACCTCACTACTGCATAAGTGAATCAAACTGTAACTATTTGATGTTCTAGATAAAATAGAAGATATCTACTTCAAAGATATTTTATATTTCACTTTGTTTCTTCCATTGTGAAAATCATTGCAAATTTTTCAATTAACATCTATAATAGCAGCTTACCTAAGAAGATCACATTTTTATGAAGTCCACTTCTATATTATTGACAATTTCAAACTTATTACTTTATTGCCATGAGCTAAGAGAAACTAGTAGTATAAAGGAAATGAACTAATGTATATATTAAAATATTTTTTAAACAGAAGAATAGATAATTTAGAAAAGATGACAGTACACAGTGTATTTACTATTATTATTCTCTTATTTTGTTGTGAAACATTTTATTTTTGCATAAAATAAAATATATTAAAAATTTGGAATTATCATTGAGGTATAATTTACAAGTACATATAAGAAAACACATCATTTTTATTGTATATTTCAGTGAGAGTATTGATGATATGTTTACTCATGTTACCAAAAAAACCGTCCTTTTCAGTCCATTCTTCCCTTCACCATCCCTTGCACATAGGCAACTACTTATCTATTTTTGTTAACAGCAAAGAATTCTTTGATTTTTAGCATTTTATATATATATGAAAAATACATAGTGATATAGTATATATGTATATATAAGCACAGATTGTGTACTGTTAAATGTAAGGTTTCTTGAACTCAGCATTATATTTTTGAGTTTTATTTATTTTGTTGTCTAGAGTGGTAGTTTCTTCCTGAATTCTATTCTTCAGTAGTATACCTGCATACTATTGAGTATACAGCACTTTAAAAATCCTTTCAACTATTTATGAACATTTGAATGGCTCCAAATTATTGGTCTTTATGAATAAAACTGATATAAATATTCATATATGTCTTTTGCTGATGATATGATTTTATTGCTATTGGCTAAATAAGATGTCAAATAATATGACAAATTGATGTCTAACTTCATTAAAAATTACCAAAGAATTCTCCAGAGTGGTTGTTTCATCTTGTATTCCAAGCAGCAGTGCATGAGAGTTTCAGATTGTCCACATCCTGTCCAACTGTTGGTACTTTTACTTTTCAAGCCATTGTAGTTGATGGGTAAAAATCTCTCCTTGTGGTTTTAATTTACATTTTTCTGTCAACCAAGGACATTTACCATTTTTTATGTGCTTTTACTTTTATGCAACTTTTTATGAATGTGTCTGTTATTTACTTTGGTTCATTGTATTTCCATTTTACGACTGAGTTGTAATTTTTCTTTTTTTTTTTTTTTTTTGGTTTTTCTCCGGTACCGGGAACCGAACTCACGACCTTGCGCATGCCAGGCAGGCGCTTTTGCCACTGAGCTAAATCCCCAGCCCCAATTTTTCTTTATCTATTTTAGATATTTGTCCTTTATGAGGCATGTATTTTATAAGTGGCTAGTGGTTTGATATCTCATTTTTTGCAGTATCTTTCAAACATAGGATTATTTTTTTTGTTTATTTTACAAGTATTATGAGTTGCAGATATTATGTTTGAGAATACGACCCATTTCAAGCAAAGTTCTATGTGCAATATGAGGTTAGGACTGAGGTTGATTCTTAAAATCCAAATATCTATTTATTTTGCAGCACTACTTCTTAAAAAGATTATCTTTTCTCATTGCTTGAACTTGGCACTTTGTGGAGAACCAATTGATCATATGGGTGTGGCCTACTTTTGGAATATGTATTCTATTCCCATGATCTGTATGGCTATCTTTATGTAAATAAAGTACTGTCTTGACTACTGTAGTTTAATACTATGTCTTGAAATATAAAAGCCCTTTAACTTCAATCTTTGTTTTAGATGTTTCAGTTTTTCTGGTTTCTTGAGTCTTGCATATACATTGTAGATTTAACTGAACAGTTTTTTTTTTTTTCAATAAAGTTTCCTTCAATATTGGTTAACATTGTATTGAATGCATAGGTACATATTTGGAGTATCTAACCCCTTGGCAATATAAAGTCTCCTGATATATGATCATGGTATAACTTTTCATTTACTAGGGTCTGTTGCAGTTATCAGTGTGATATTTTTAGCTATATTTTGTTAAGGTTTTGTTTTTCTGTAGCTATCATAAATGATGGTTTTTTTCTAAATCTTGATTTCTAATTTTTTAGCATACAGAATTACAATTAACTTTTGTGTAGCACTGTTTATGTGCTATGAACGTGTAAAATAATATTGTGAGATCAAAAAAAGCCCTTTGCAGATTATTTGGGGTTTTCTATACACATTATGCTGTCTGTCCATGGAGATCTTTTGTTTTCCCCTTGCTAATTTTCCTATCTTCCATCTAACTTTTTGCTTTGTTTATATAGACCACGTCCTTTCAGACAATGTTGAGTATAAGTGATGAGGGCACAAATTCCCGTTTCGTTTCTAGTCTTAGGGTAAAACCTCTAGTTTTTCACTATTAAAATGATGTTAGCCCTATCAGTTTTGCAAAACTTCCTTTAGCCAGTTTTAGGATTTCCATTTATCCCTAGTTTTCTGAGAGCTTTTATGTTGAATGGGTCCTGACTGTTGCAAAATAGTATCTATTCCTCTACTGAACTAATTATGATTTTCCTACCTCATTCAATGAACCCTGTGAAGTATATTCATTTCTTTTTAATGTCAAACTAGCTTTATGTGTTAAGATAAGTGCTACCTGGTCCATACTCTCATTTCTTGCAAAATGTTTGTCTGGTTTTGTTATTAACATCATTAAATGACTACGAGAAGTAGGGCCCTCCTCTACTTTTAGAAAGACATGACTGATACTTTTCTTCTCAAATATTTGATAAAAATCTCTTGTTTTTGTTTTTGTGGGAGTTGTTTTGTGCTTTTTAATTCATTGAATTGAATTTTAGACAACCTACTCTGAGAGGAAAAATTCAGTGGTGACATTACCACAAAGAATCTGATGATTTGACCTTTGTTGTCATCAGCGTAAAAACAGGTTAAGGAGACTGACTTCCATGCAATTTGAATAATTTGCACATGTCACGTTCTGAGAGGAAATTAAGGATGTTATGCAGAGCGCTATTTGAGACATTGAAAGTTTGAAGTAATAATATATGCTTAGCCTTTTATTGCTAATAGTTCTATTCTGATAATTTGCTGCTGTATAATATAACCATTCCAAAACTTCATGATGTGAAACAACCAGCATTTTAATACACATGGATTCTATAGTTAAAAACTTCGGATAGGTCATAGGAGGATGGCATCTTTTGTTTAGTGATGTTTATGTCCTTAGCAGAAAGACTTGATGACTATGTTCATTTAAATATTGGAGACTGAGATCATCTATATCCTAGGTGTAAAAGAGAACATTTGGCAATGATGAAAAAGTTCAGTGTGCATGCTGGTTATGGAATAGTCCGTGAGCTACACATGGTTATTGAATACTTGTAGTGATATTGCAGAAATATCTTTTTAGTGTTTAAATTAATCTGAATTAAAGGGTCAAATATGTGACACATGGCTAGTGGCTATCCTACTGGAGAGTTAATATACAAAATATTCTAGACTTATAAGTTTAGTAGCTGGGATTTAAAAAGACTAAAAAGTGGGCTCAGTTGAGACTTTTGACCAGGGCCCTACATTTGGTCTCCATGCAGTTTGGGCACTGTGGCCTCAGACTTATCTAACTACTCCACGTATGTAGCTTAGGGTTCCAGAATCTGGTGTTGCAGTGATCCAGAGTAAAGTCCACAGCTTTCTGTGATTTAAATCCAAAATTCCTGTAGCACATTTCTGCCAGTTTTCTTTAGTTGCAGTTGTCAGAAAGCATTCAAGATTCAAGGAAAGGTGACAAAGACATCAGATGTCCTAAAAAGACATATAAATTTGCAGGTTTTAAAACTGCAAGAGGGGCTGGGGATTTAGCTCAGCGGCAAAAGCGCCTGCCTGGCAAGCGCAAGGTCGTGAGTTCAGTTCCTGGTACCGGAGAAAAACAAAAAAAAAAAAAAAAAAAAAAAAAACTGCAAGACACTCCACAATATTTAGTTATTATGACATAAAGTAGATTTTTTCTATTTTCCATATAGACGATCTGCATGTTTTGGGTTGGCAGTGCAAACATATATTGATCATAAAATATAGATGTTCACTACATTTTCTCAATGTGAGCCTAAGGTTTCTAGTTCCAGGATAAGGAATGAAAAATTATGAGTCAATGGAAAAAAATGAGTAAATTTTATGGAAAGGATGATAATGTAAAATTATAGAAGAAAACCTACCTTTATTTTGCATGTTCCCAAATGGGGATGCAAATTCTAGCACAAAGCTTTACATGTAGACTATAAAAATGTCCATAGCAGCATAGAATACAGTACAAGCCTTGAAAATACATTACTGATTTTTTAAAAGCAGGTGTAGATTTTATGAATCAGGTGAGAACTTTGTTTGTGAGCTTACCTTAGACATTTTCCAGACTCTTTCAGTAGCCATCAATAAAAGAGGAAGAAGGCACTCATCAGACATTACAGCTTTGGATATATAAATCTATACCAGTTCAACTGGAATCACCCAGCAGTGAACTGAAGGCAAAGATTCTCTATGAACTGAAATGTCGAGCATACTGGAGACTTTGTCTATGGTCATTTCTATTGTGGAATTCATAATGGGGATTTTTGGAAATGGATTCATTGTGCTGATAAATGGCATTGACTGGGTCAGAAAACGGAAGACCTCCCTGTTTGATTTTATTCTCACGAGCTTGGCCAGCTCTAGGTTATGTTTTCTTTGTTCAACATTTTCAACTATCACTTTCAGTTTAGTGTATGGGGAACGATTTTACTTTAAGAGTATTCTGATGGGTGTTTCTGTCTTCTGGACAGGATCCACCTACTCCTGCACAGCCTGTACCACCTGCCTCACTGTCTTCTATTTCTTCAAGATAACTAACTTCTCCAGCCCCATTTTCCTCTGGATGAAACACAGGATGCACATGGTGCTTCTTATTATAGTCCTGGGATCAGCACTTTCTTTCTGCGTAAGTCTCTTTTTCATGGACACGTTCATAAATATGTCAGTGCAATACTGGGTAAACAGGAAACAAAACTTCACATTCTATGATACAAAGAGTCTTGACTACTTAGTTTATTATTCTCTCCTTCACATGGCGCTCTTCATTTCTTTTGTAGTGTCACTATCCTCCTTCTTACTTTTACTCTTCTCCTTATGGAACCACACCAAGCGAATGAAGCTACAGGGCATGTACTCTAGGGATTCGAGCATGGAGGCTCATGTGAGAGCTATGAAGGCCATGATTTCATCACTGCTTCTTTTTGTTACAAACTTTGTCAGCAATGTTATGGTCATGTTGGCATATATTGCTGACAGTGAGGTGGCAAAGGTTTTTGCTCATTTGCTCATATTTTTGTATCCATCTGCTCATCCATTTCTTTTGATTTTATGGAACAACAAGTTGAAACATGCCTCTCTCTGTGTACTGAGGAAGCTGAAGTGTGTCGGGGTAATCACTCACTCTCATGAATGAATGATGTGACTGATGATGCTTTGAAAAACAAAACAAGGAAGAGAAAGAAGGACTTCCCATTTGTCCCTTTCAGAACTTCTCCGCTTATTATGTTCTGTGATATATTTTATTTCTTTTTCTTACGTTTTTTCTTTTTCTTTTCTTTTTTCCCCTCCCACCTGCACAGCATTGGGGATTGAACTCAGGGCCTTCACACTGAGCTACATCCCCAGTTCTTTTTAGTTATTTTGAGACAAGATCTCACTACGTCACTAAATTGCCGAGGCTGAGCTCACACTGGCAATCCTCCTACCTCAGTCTCCAGAGTACTCGGATTTCAAGCCTATGCCACCAAGTTTGGACTGTCATATGATATTGAACATTACTGAAAATATCTGCTTGATTTTAATTGGACAGAAAAGATTACTATTTTGTGTTTTACATTAAGTACTATAAAATATTATAAATCATTCCATTTATATATTTTATTCATAAGTTGGATAAATGTTAAATTAGGATAGAATTAATATACCTGATGGATAGTAGTATGTGCTTATGTATATTAATATATATGTGTGCACAGATTTATAGGCACAAACATGTAGATGTGTATTAACTAAATAATCTTTAATGTGATCATTCGAAAAATGATTTTTAATTGACTACTTAAAAGTAGAAGTCAAGTGAAAATTCTTAAAGGAGTCTATAGCTTAACTGAAATTTTGAAAGTATAAAAATAAAGTGAAGTTAAAGGCACACTTTAGTATGAGTTATTTCCAAATATACACTTCATTCTGAAGATATTTCCAATTAAAAGCATTAGACAGTTTTGACTATCAAAAGGTAGCAAAACTAGGAAAACAACTCTAGAATCTGCCGCTTTGATGTGAAAAATTAAATTGTATTCAATCAATTAACTGTATAGCTAAGGTAGGAACATGAAATAGAGAATGAGTAAGATTCCAAGAGATGATAGCAAATATAAGACCTCATTTGACAAAAGTCAATGCAAAGAAAAACATCTGACGGCTTCAGTTAAAATAATTCATGAGTGAAAAATTCTAATATAGAACTGATTTTTTTAAAATTAGAATATTCTCAAAGTTACACCTCTTCTTATGAGATTCTCTGAATTTCTTAACACCCGTAACATTGCAGACAGCTTATTTTTGCAGCATCCTGGTACTAAAACTTCGTTTGACATCTCAAGTGTTTACTGTACTATCTGTCTCTCTGAAGCTCTCAGCCTAAATTTCCACATTTTTAAAGTTAATTCCTTCACAATTTTGTATTGTAAATCTCTTTGATTGTTTTATAATGATGTGAAATATTTTGATAATTCTTTTTTGCATTTTTGTCAAATAATATGCATGGAGTTAAACCACTGCACAATGTATCTTCATAAAACAAGATACCTCCTTCCCTTCCAATCTTTTGAGTGTGCCAGTGCTCTCAGAATATATGATTATTTCAATACAGTTCTCTTACTGTCTCTCTTTGGACTCCTGTCTTCATTTTAATCTTGGTTTGGAACACATGTTATTGATTGGGAAAAAAAAATTTATAGTTCTGGGATTTGACCTCTGAGTAGCAAGACTTTGTTCATGCCATGCAACCTCTGCACCTCTGAGCTATATCTGTAGCATGGAAAATATATATACTTTTAGAAGCCACTACTTGTGTAAATAGATTCCTCCTGGAAGAAATTTTTCATTTGTTCATCTAGTCTCCTTTTACCCTCATCTCAGTTTTTCCTCCCCTTTGAGTGGTCTCTTTCCCTTTCACAGTATCTATTGTATCATTCAGATTTTGTTTACTCTTTCAGGTTCTTACACTAGGGAGACAATACGATATTTACACATGCAGAAAGAAAGAAGGAAGGGAGAAGTATATACGTATATACACAGAATAGCTGGGATAATTGCACTGCTGATTTCTACTGGTCTGTTGAAAGGAACAGTCAATGTTTAAATTTTTTCTTGTTTTTAATTTTTTGACAAACTTTGCATGCTTATATCTGGTAATCTGAACAACTAATTTGAAGACAACGAAATGCAATAGAACAACCATTGTTGAATTCTTATCATCTTGTATCATGAAATTTTGTATCTTTTCTAATTTTTAAAAATTATTTCGATTCTCTTTGAAAACAAAACTAAAAAAAAAAAATCTAGTCTCCTTTTAGTGTTAGTAAAGTTTGTTACAGAGAAGTTTTGTGATGTGAATGACTCATCCTACAAATTCAGTACTGTGATTAACATAAATGATCACTGATAGCAGTTATTAAATCCTCATTCAAGTTCATAAATCATAAAAAATAAAAGCAAATTTGGGCTGCAAAAGATTAAAAATTAAAACTATACTAACAATTTGATACAGTCATGGAAACCTCTGTCCCTCACCATAAAGTGTGGGGAGATTAGTAAAATTTTTAATAATACATTTTGTAATACACAGATTTAGACACAGAGAGCAGAATAATTGGAAAGACAAACAACAACAAGAAAAAGGAATGTTAGCTAAAAAATGGTTCACCAATTGTAATTAGCATTCCCAGTAATAACTAGCCTTTTAAAGGAAGAAATCAAAATATTGAAAGAGAAAATAATTTTCAAGTCATTAGCAGTCCTGTACTTCCTTGATCACCTGAAAATAATTTATAATCACCCTTAAAGTGACTCTTATGGCCACTGACCATTCAATGTACTATATAGGTACTTTGGAGCCCAGAGTGGATTCAAGCAAAGGTCTGTGACACTTAAGGATAAATTTTTAGACCCATGTTTATAGCTGTGCAATTTGTAATAGCCAAATCGTGGAAGCAACCCAAATGCCTGTCGACTGAGGAGTGGACCTCTTTAATGGCTCCACCTCCTGTTATTTGGAGTGCACAGCAAAAAAACTATAAGCATGAGATTTGAGAGCTTTGTTTCAATTCTACTTTCTAGTAACTGTTTTCATCCACTACTCAATTCTGCACATTAGTGAGCAACACAGTGAATGGGTAGTTATTATTTTTTTTTAATTTTAAAGAAAGAAAAACAACAAAAATGGCACAGAATTTCAAAACAAGATGATAGAAAATTAACAATGGTTAGTTATTGACCAGTAGCATGTATAATTTTGTTGATTAACAGAATTGGGGAAAGTCCATAGGAATATTAAGTGGCATAGTGACAAAATTGAGAGTAAATGTGTGCTGCTTATTAGTTTGGAAACATTTCATCTATTAGCTCTCTGATAATCTCTTACCTTTAATTATGATCAGAGCTGCTTTAAGAACTCAGGCTTGCCTGGCATCTCAGTGACCAAAAGAAGGCCCCCCAACCCTACATACCCAACCAAATGTATTCTACAGCATCAGGAATGCAGTCCTTTGTAGCCATATTGGATACAGGTGGAGGTGTTGAGGATTGTGGATGGAGCCACATATGACCATGAGGAGACATATAGGAAGAGAACATGAGCCTATGAACTCCCAAAACATGGGCAGGTCCAATAGAAAGGAGGCAGATCCTAGAGCAAAAGTCCAGGATGATAGAGCTTCCCTGCCCACAGCAGCCATTCCTTTCCGTTTAGCCTCCCTTTCCTGCATTCTCTGAATCCCCAGAGGAACATATCAGGGTCACCCTGACAAGGTACTTCCTAACAAGCAGGTGTTGAATGCCCATCTTCTGGAAGGGGAAAAAAGAAACAGAAAGTGATTTCAACTGGTGAGGCTTGAACAACAACAAAAGTGAAAAATTTGAAGGACTTTGGAATAGGGTACTTTGAGTTACTTTGTGCATTGTTTTTGTTGTTTTTTGTCTGTCTGTATGATATAATGCTAAATATCTGTAATTTTGCCTTATAAATGGCAAACAGAACCATCTAGACAAAAATTTCAGGAAGAAAAATAAATCAGCAGAACAAGCTTCCTGTCATTTAAATCAGTGGAGAGAGAGTAACATAGTGTGAGTGCTTGTACACTTTAACACTGAAAATTTTCTCTCCTGAGCTTTTTAGGTATTACAGCTAAAACTCTTGTGTACAGTATAAAATAAAAAACACCTCTCTCTCTCTCTAATACATATATATATACATATATATATAAATTTTGATATTAGAACCTGTATGCTCTTCTCTAGAGAAACAGAATCAATAAAAAGATATGTATAATTATCTGTGATTATGCATAATTATGTAAGGGGTTTCATCATGTAGCTTGTAAGATCAGAGGAAGGAGATTCCCAAATGGCCATCTGGGCATCAGGGAGCTGGATGATCTAGCAGCTGCTCAACCCAAGTAGACAGAAACCACAGAACAAGGGGAATCAAGGATACAGCACCAGCTCAAGGCCCAGGTTCACTTTAGCATCACCAGTGGGCATCTTCCTTGGAAACCTGATGAAAATGAAGACTAATGTCCAAAGGCAATAATGGTGAAGACTGGAGCACTTTCAAAAGGTGGACACTTCCTTTTTCTTTTCTTTTTATCCTATCCACACTACAAGGATATTTGTTGGTCTCAGCAGTTCCAGGGAAGATATTCCCCCTTTCAGGTTCCCGGTATATATACCAGTCATTCACAGACACATCCAGAACTGGGCTTCTCCAATCTATGTGGCATTTCTTAAGTTGACAAGCCATTATCAATGGTCACAGCAACATTATCTTTGCAGATAACTTGTAGGCACATCCATTGAAATCTTATGCAGTTTAACCACACATGTAATATACTTTTTAAGATTCTATGTGTATATGTATGTGTAATTAAACAATGTGTGTGTAACTGAATAAAACTCTCAAGGAATGAAACAATGAACAGATAACAATTGACATGTTCTAGATATTGAAATAATCAAAAACTAAAAGGAAGCTATTATAGCCATCTTTTTTGAAGTAAATGTAAACACTCTTAAAATGAGAAGAAAGAAAGTAACTGTTCAGCAGAAAAAGGAACTATATAAAATAATGAAATGGCAATTTTAAAAGTGAATAAGTACAGTGGCTAAATTGTTTGAGAAATTATTTGATATGAT